ACGAGATAGAAAAATAGGCTAGTTTTAGGTATATAGGGACGCATCTATACTAATATATCTATACTAATATTATAAAGAGGTATAGTTTGTGAGTTTGTGGGTTTGTGAGTTTGTGACGTTGTAGGGGGTAATCTCTGGATCTACTGAACGATTTAGATGAAATTTGGTAAGAAGATATTTTGAGACTCTGGAAAGGACATAGGATACTTTTTATCCCGGAAATCATTCCTTAAGGTTGTGAAAAAGAGGATGAAAGTTTGTATTGGGAAGCGAGCTAGGGATGAACCCGAGCGCAGCGAGGGTGAGTCTCTTGTAATTAATAAAGGATAATTCCGTTTAAAATATTTCATTTACATTCTGATTCAAACTAATTTTAAAAGGTTGATATATAAGCTATTACCTTCCTGCAGAAATTATATTTTTTTAGTTTAAAGTCGGATTTTCGAGTTATTTTACAAAACATAACATCTTTAATTTATTAGTAAACATTTGTCAGTAAAAATATAATGTTGATAAAGAACATAAAGACCAAAATTATTATATAGCCTTCAATTTTTGATGAAAAGATTAAGAGGGTGATTTTCCGAGAATCGATATCTCAAATTGGTAATTTGAATAATATAAGATGTTTGAATAGATTTATCTCAGACGTTAATGATTGATTACTGTCTGAAATAATATAAATAATTTGTTTTAGCTCAATTGATTACCAGTTTGCTATTGCCCAAAAAAATTCAGGATTTCTTTATGTTAATTAGTTGTTTAATTAGATGATATAGATACCTATAAAACTCCTTACTTTATGGGAAACGACGGTAAAGAGGCATAAGTTAATGAACAACATAGTTATCGGGCCACTATAATAAATGCGAAACTTTGTATGTATGTGCGTATGATTGTTACTTTTTTACGCAACAAATAGATAAAAAATATCTTTTAAATTATCACTATATAGTATAAAACAAAGTCGCTTCCCGCTGTCTGCTTGTCCCTATATATGCTTAGATCTAGAGTGATTCAAGAGGAAGGTTTTAGTATATAATTTGTTAAGTTTTTGTATACATTGGCTAAAATATAACGATATTTGTTGGAGGTGTCAGAAAAAAATAAGCCATCTGGGAGCTTTCAACGAAAACGCTGCCTAAATAAACCATTTGAGATAAACAAAATAATGTATGGTGGAATTGTGTATATTATATAGGTCTACAGAAAAGTCAGCGATGGCATATTATGTCTATCTCTTAAGGATAACAAACTATATCCATTTTGAATTAAAACGTACCTAGGGACGAACCCGAGCGAAGGGAGAGTGAGTCGCTAGTTTTAATAATAAAATAAATTATAAAATATTCAAAATATTTACAGTGTCAGGTTTTCTTTCTGATGAATGTTTTCCCTAGCATCATTTAGTACCCAATACATCCCTTATATTCTATTGTAATGATAAAATTTAAAGATGATATTATAGAGCAATAGGAACAATGGTTGAACCGAACAAGAATGCATTGCTGATTACGGCATATGATCCTTCTTCGTCTATTGTTTGCATTGTCATGAAAATTCTTTTATTGCAAGTTTTATTCTCGCAATGTAAGCAATTAAAACAGAACCATGTAACGATGCAGTAAACTTTTATATATTATCAAAGTATAATTTTATATCGCTAAATAGATAATATTTTAATATGATAATGATTCGTTTAGCGTCAGAGAAAGTACGTACAGGTGTATTAAAGTAGGTCGGTTATTATTTTCAATTTGATAATTCAATAATAATTATAAGAACTTTATACTTCGTTGTAACTTAAATTACGGCCTAATTTGCCATCATTGAATATTTATAAAATGAGTCACTTTAGCCGGCTATTGTACTTATATTGTAAAATAGATAATTAAAATATTTTTTCTTTAAGTATGTATTATTTATTTTTTAATTTATTAAAATAATATTAATAAAAATATTATTCATATAATAATAATACTTAAAATTACTTATAAATAATAATTAATGGATTAATAATCCTTTTCGATCGATTTTTTTTAAGTTCTAGGAAAGAAAATAAAAAGAACTAATAAAAAGACAATTATTTTATCTAGGTATAGCACCAATTAACTATTTATCTTGGAATTATTTTATAAAATATTCTCTAATAAATCCTACTAATATTATAAATGTGAAAGTTTGTGTGGATATTTATGTCTTTTACACAAAAACTACTGAATGGATTTTAATAAAACTTTACATATTACAATTTTTTAGCTCATACATCAGAATAATACTACTTTTATCCCGGAAAAATGTACGGTTCCCGTGGCATAAATTTGGTTGTGTAATTTATAAAGGCATTTAATCAATATAGTATATTGTATAGAACAGATATATCGTTATGATAAAAAAACAAGTCACTTCAAAAATTATGAAAACAACAATAGGAAAAATATATAATTTACGACGCATTTAATACAAGATCGATTTCTATTTTCTATCATAATAATGACGAGGCGGAATTTGACACGTGCCTGCCGCCTTTACTATTCACGTTTATTATTGTTTTATGACTTTTGTAACTTAAAACAATTAGTTTAGGTTATTTTCATAAGAAGAATTTATAAGTTAACTACAATTAATTGGATTGAATTGTCACGAGAAGTAAACGGGAAATGGCTTGTTAAGTAGTATTGTCTCATTTTACGCATATAAATTAGTAAGTTTAGATAATGAAAAGTTAGGTCACTGCCTGGTGCAATTATGTATTTGAAACTCTGCCTTCACGATCGCGAGTTCGAGTACAGGCTAAGACAAATACTTATAATATCCTCCAGGCATAGGCCTAGAGGATATTGAAAATATAGCAAGGGCGGCCAATATCACGGAGACTATCCATTTGCATAGAAGATATTAAAGTGCACAAATATGCTCTAAAACACAAGTGCATTCTTTATTTCCTTCACATTAAAACTCCTGTGGGACGAAATTCGACACAACCGTTTAGAGATAAGACACAGGCCCAACGCCTTTGTATGCTCCCCGAAATATGAGAGAGAAAAACTGCAAATTTTTCAACTCCGAACTGTTACTGAGTTTTTTTTATATAAAAGGACAATGACTATACTTAACCCAACCCGGGACTCAAACCCATGATCTGCCAAAAGAGATTTATTAAGTTTTTATAAGAAAGAAAAGCAATAAGATTTTCTGTAGCGAATGAACAGCCCAAACTTGGATAGATTAGGTAATACAGAAAGCACGTAAAGCCGTCGATCCTTATTGTATAGAATAGTCATCCTATGACTATGAGACTATGAGAGTGAAAGGAATATAACGCGCACTTGAATTAGCGCAGATTAGTATTTGCGCTAATACAAGTGCACTCTATATTCCTATTAGTAAACACGCTATAAGTATACAGTATAACATTTCCTGCACAGTTAGCCATCTGGTAAATCTCACAATCAAGTGAGATTAGCCGCCTAAGCGAAATCGTGCAGCAAAAAAAAGGTAGGTATAATCTATACATATAATGAAATTGTAACTAAGCCGAATCTGTACATTAAATATTTTTTGGAAAATCTTATTGAAATAGACATTATTATCGACACAGAGGCCGAATCTATAGTTCTTAGAATTTTTGTCTGTCTATCTGTCTGTCTGTTACCGCATCACGAGAAAACCAGTGGATAGATTTTGATGAAATTTGCTATGATGATAGCTGGTTATCCGGATCAACATATAGGATACTTTTTACCGCGGAAAAATATCTCATCTCTGAGAAATCTATAGTAAACGTTAAAAATATAATAGATAATTATATTTAGGTGAATTTTGTTATTATATTATTTATTAAAATATAAAATATAAGCTTATGAAACATGCAACACAGTAGGATTACATAATGTAAGCTGTGTCTTAGCTATATTAGGTGGGAATTAATTCCCTTACTTACATATAGCGTAATAACTTATAATAGGCAGTGCAAATTAGACGCTTGCCAAACTTTTCAACAGCCTTGTCTGAATAATATTATATTAATTGTAAAATTGTAACTGTCACTTTCATTCAATGCTTTTTTAATGTTTGAAAGTAAAGTAATAAATAGAAATGCAATTATAAAAATAAGCCAAATTCCTTAAAAAAAAAAATTGAAGGTACTTTTCTCACAAACACCGCACAAGTATTTTTTCAAGTAGTGAAAAAAGTACCTTAGCGATAAAAACTTAAAAAAAAATTAAAACTGACTTCCAGATACTAAAATGTTAAAAATAATTAAACGGAAGTTTTCATTCAGAATAGAATTACCTAATCAGATATTTTCGAAGTCGGTGCCAGCCGATGCAAAGCAAATCTAATATATTTCGGTACGTAAAATACATATTTACCAATTAGATATTCATATCTTAAAATATTGTAGGCTGGCACCGACTTCGAAAATATCTGATTAGGTATCTATTTTAAATGAAAACCTCCGTTTAGTTATTTTTTACATTTTAGTGCCTGGAAGTCGGTGTTTTTTAAAGTTATTATTTTTCCATTTTTAGTATAGACGTAATAAGCAGGTAATTTGTAAGAAGCAAGTTTTTAATGACATATTCGATTAAACAATTTATTTAAAAATATATAATTATTGTTGATGTTTTAAAAAATCGCCCGACCGATTTCGATAAAAATTTTATGGGACCACCTGGGAAATATACCCTTTGAAACAAAATAAAAATTTTCCAAATCGGTTCAGGCGTCTTCGAGTAATCGGTGAACATACATAAAAAAAAGATTCCGACGAATTGAGAACCTCCTCCTTTTTGGAAGTCGGTTAATTTTTTTTTTGCATATAGAGTAACACATTTTCTCACTTCTCTTCTTCTTCACTACAGTAATAATATATTTTCTTATAATACTGAATATTAAATGTCTTATCTATATTTATAAGTAGGTATATTATAGCTATACAGCTATCGTAGATTAGTTTGTAGATTTGCCTTTCTTTACTTAAAATATTTTTACAGGTCGAGAATTTAACAACGGACAGAATGTAGTATCTGTAGCTCCTATAGAGGTTACTGATGGTAAGTCTGAAACCGATATTTGTTTTTAATTTACTATTAAATAATAAATAATAAATAATCAATATTAAAAATTGCTTGATATATTTAATAGTTAAAGTAATGACTTATATTTTTTCTTTGTGAGTTTCTGCAACTTTTTAGCTATAGAAAGTATTTATATATTCAATATTATTTTTTGTAAGCAATTAAATATTTATATTTTTTTATAGTAACTTTATGCATGTTTACATAGACATATGTACATGGTTAATTCGTTCATGGTACATATATAATATTTAACTTTCTGTATGTTAATCTGTATGGAATCGGTCAACGTAAAACGAACTAAATTTTACGCGTACGGTAGTTTTACAATAAAGGTGTAAGAGCTAAATATTTTTGATAAATTTAAAGTGAGACTTATAAAAATGCTGTACTCGGCTCAAGCTAGAAACTGGCACTTTTATCGGCACTAAGTAGAAGAAGCGGCCTAATAAAATTTTAAAGTGGGTTAAATCTTTAGTGAAATACATGAAAATACATAATAAATAATAATATATCTAAAATATAAACATTAATAGGTTTACAGTCTGGGTAAATAGTACAAACAAAAGAGGCCAATATTAGGCCAAAGCAAACATTTACATTTTACAAGCTAAATCCTTATGTTTGAGTTCTATTCGTATTGGTTAGAGTCTAGATGATTTATCTTAATATAATTATGTACATCAAAATATTTATAGATATAAATTGACATATAGGTAATAGACTACGACTCACCCTCGCTTTTTCATCTAAATCGATTCTGCGGATTTTTAGTTTATCACTTACAAACAAAAATGTATTTTTTTTCTCTTTATAATATTATAGTACCGATATTATTTTATTAGTTTTCGTCGAGGGTTTTGCTCACGTGGTAGCCAAGGACATAAAAAGCTTGATGACGTGTAATCAAATATATAAATACCTTTTCAACTTAACCGCTTAAACCACTTAACTGATTTCGATGAAATTCAGCAAAGACATATTCGATTAGCCAAACGAGCGGAGCCAATGACAAAAACTCAGTAGTAATTAAATAAGCAGGCTTACAGAGTTTCTAATATTTATTTCAAATTTCTCAGAATCAGTGGATACAGTATGAAGAAATAACAAAAACATTCACTCACAAACTTTTCTATTGATAATATATTAGTATGACAATAAAAAAACAAAACAATTTGACTTAACTCAATGGTCTATCTCAGCGAAATGCCTTAAATATTGAAATGGATCATTATTAACATACTGCCTGTTTGTCTTTCGTATATCGACAATAAATGCTGCCTTCTTATCAACATTGATTATTTCAATAACCACAAAATAGTCATCTTGTTTCACCGACACAGAATTTTACTAGCTAACAGCCACGTCCTCGTTCGTATTTAATCTCTCTTAGGTCCGAGCTTTACAAAGAGTTTATAACACAGTTCTCTTTTGTGATAAAACTGCATAACACTGAAAAAAGCGCTTCAAGTCCTTTCGGCACTTTTGCGTGACGTCGTTAAAATTCTACTGAAACAGTTCTAAAAATAATGGTTCTCGTCTGCGTTAGCACTACGCGTCCTTAAAATAGAAAAGTTTAAAATGATGAATGGGATAATGAAGCAAATAAAATATTCCAGCTTATATTCATTTAATATATTATGTAACTGTAAAGATTTTACTATAGCAAAACAAAAACTTTCATTGTTGCTATGTATAATTATAATCGACAAATACTACGTTAACTAGTAGCAGTAACAGTATCCCCATATCATGGAAAGCTTGTCGGCCTCGGTTATCAGCCATCTAAGGATAATCGCTTAACGGTTGAGCCGAATTGATCGGGTTGCAGATATCCGACGCCAATCGCTTTACCACTATCCTATTAACAAATGCAAGTCAAATTTTACTAAAAATGATACAAAATTCTTTAAAATACTAAAACACGGTATAACATATACCATTAACAAAATTCTAATATTATGCCCAGCTTTATTCTTCTGGAGATTATGCTATAAAAAATTAATAATTTAAAAGGTATGTACGTATATACAGAATCATGAACTAACTATTATAAAAAAATATATTTTACTCGATTATTAAAGCACAGCTTTTTAAAAGCTTTATAACGTCGAGAGTTAAGATAACATTATAAAACAAAGGACTTTATTAAGTACAATTAAGTTGTACTTAAAATCTTATCTTCTTAGTATAACGTTTATACAAATTGAAATTATATTAGCAAGTAAATGTAATGTTAACAAAACAACGGTAGACTTTACTACAGACATAAAAGATTTTTTAAACGATCCTGACCCACGATACATTATTCTACCGGGGAAAGAGTGATACACCGACAAACCGCTATTTGTCGTGGCACACTGGGTATAAATCACGCACCCCTCGCCAGCCGACGCGGCGGCACCTACCGATTGTCGTGTCCTTAAACCTGCGAACACGGTATGAACGGACGCGACTTCCATACACAATGGCGGACAGAAATATTTTCTCGAGCATCTTAAAATGAAAGAATTTAAAAAGTTTGTAGGAAAATTCTTCCTTTTCTAAAAAAATAAAAATAACAATTAATATACTTTATCAAAGAATTTCCATTGAATATCAAGTTTTAACAGAATTTTTCGTTTTACAAAAAATTTGCAGAAATTTTCTTTCTAAAATAAAACTGAAAATATAACAATTTAGCTGAAATTCAACAAGAGTGGTTAAAATTTAGCTGTAAATGAGAAAATAGACATTCTGTTTTTTTATTTAAATATGAATCTAATCCACTACCTATTTGTTTTCATAATCGTTTTATGAATTACTGCTTTACTGTCTGTAATTTTTATATATCATATTAAATATTTGCAAACATCTATTTTTTTAAAACTCACTGCATCGTTTAGTTAAATTCAACAAACCTTTAACTGAAACTATTTAAATTCAATCAAATTATTGTATGTAAATTTTTAATACTGTTAAATTTATCTTTTTAAGGAAATTATTATAGATATTTTTTTACAGAATCTATGTACCCGAGATTCGCCGAACCAATTCCGAATGTTACAGCAACTGTCGGCAGAGATGCTTTACTGGCGTGCGTCGTTGATAATTTAAGAGGATTCAAGGTAAGTCGTTACGTACAATGTACATATTATCATAGTTAAAATATTCTATTAACTCAAGAAATATATCTACAAAAGGCGGTCATAAGTTCGCTCCACGTGCAAGGACTAACGATTTTATATCCCATCATATTAATGTTCAATTTGTGAAAAAATCACTTGGCAACTCTAATCCAGTCCGGAACACATAAAGGAAATTGAAGAATGGAATGGTGAACCACTAAGTTATTAAGTTATTTTGTGATTAGAATAAAGCGAAACGGACAAGCGTTTATTGGTTAGAAAAATCATTTCTGTTATCTTTGAAAAAGGACAATTCGTAAAATTTTTATGAAAATCTACTCACACTAGTGTTCACCTAGATGCCGGAATTCGACCATAATCATTATAAAAATTTGAGGACAAATATGAACAGAATTTACATAAAAAAACTGTCTTCAATTTTTTTTTATGGTAACACTAAAACTCGTCAATAGCTACTAAACAAAAAAATCGATTAAGAAACAGGAGATAAAAATACAGAATTGTCTGTTATATATACAGATTTCTTTAATCTAATTTTTTTAATGATTCTCTTTAATACGTAATACTTATTACATCTATTATTATTTTTCAATGTTCTATTTTAGGTGGCTTGGGTTCGTATGGACACTCAAACAATTCTGACCATCCATCATAACATCATAACACAGAACACGCGCATCAGTCTGTCATATAACGACCACCGTTCATGGTTCCTACAAATTAAAAATGTACAAGAAGTGGACCGCGGTTGGTACATGTGTCAAGTCAATACAGACCCTATGCGCTCAAGAAAAGGCTACCTTCAAGTTGTAGGTAAGGTACCAATCATATCCGCATATTCACATGAAGTTACTATTTCAATTACTGTCGAATACGGTTCCTTTCATAGAGGTTAACTTCAACTGACTCATGTCTTATATAATATAAATGAAATATGTATATATGTATAACATGAATGTATAAATGAAATAGAAGAAAATCATATAATATAACTTTTTCATTAGCCACTGCACATATTGGTGTGTTATAGCTTATACTATTACCTTAAGTGAATTTTCATATATTCTTTGTGTACTCTTAGAAACTTTAAAGTATATTGTTTTAAATAAATTTAGTGATATAATATTTTGAAACGTTAAACAACCAATTTATTATAACATCGAGTAGTCAGTGAATTTCTGATTTTTCATTTCAATTTTGATTCATTTTAGCTTGAATAGAACAATAAACTTTGTTCAGATACTTCACTTATTGTCAGATTATTATGATTCTCTGTAATTTAAACAAATATTTTTATTTCAAAAAATAATATTAATACCAATTTTAAACCTTAGGTAGTTATTTTTAACCATAATAACAATAACAAAAAATATTCATTTGGCATAAAAAATGTATTATTAATGTTTCATTATATAGCTCAAGTTATATCGTAATCTCGTTAATTACTTATCGGCTTGCCCATTGCGATCATCTATCATCAACGAAATGACGTCCACGGAAGCGGCAAGGAAAGGTATGGACGTGACCTTTATGTGTCACTAGGGTTTGCTCAGAGCTCCCTAATGTACAGGATCTTTGTACAGTATTATAATATATAATTGAATATAAAACTTATATAATAAAATATTAGGGATCAGTTCGTGTAAGTAATTACTTATTATCCAGTGCCTCCATCAATCATCGACAATATGACGTCTACTGACATGGTAGTGAGAGAAGGCACGGACGTAACGTTAGTGTGTCGGGCTTCCGGCTATCCTGAACCATATGTTATGTGGAAGAGAGAGGATGGACAAGATTTCAACTATAACGGAGAATCTGGTAAGATCAAAAATCTGTTTTCTTAAAATGTAACACAATCACATACATAAAATTTGGTTAACCCACTTTCAAATGCATAACAATATATTTTTGCTTATAGTAAACGTAGTCGACGGCGAAACGCTAACCATAACAAAGGTATCTCGTCTCCATATGGGCGCCTATCTCTGTATCGCATCCAACGGCGTTCCTCCATCGATCAGTAAACGCATCATGCTCATGGTTCAATGTGAGTAGATAAGCTCATCTGATCCAATAACACTACACTTGAGAGATAATCCTTGTCGAATAACGATTATTAGTTTATTAATTAGTAACCAATTTACATTACACATCTACACGTAGTGTCTATTATTAAAACAATATTGACTCGGTTAGGTCGTTAACAAATTCAATTTGTGGTGTATACGATAAATAGTAATTAATTGTGATTGACGAGCTATTCACACATTTATACAGTGAGTAAAAAAGAATAACACGGATAAAAAATGATTTAAAATGTACATTATGTGAGGTTGTTACATTAAATATTTTGTAAAGAAATATAAAAGGGATTAAGGGATATTTAAAACTGTCTGCACATTTTTTAACTTTTACTAATTATTGTGATCTTAAATCAAAAATATATGATTAATTTTAGTTGATTGAACAAATATAGGAATAAGTTGAACATTTTTCTACCAAAATACGACAGTCATATAATGTGACACGTATCTATATAATCATATCAAAAATGTATTTTCTTGATTTCTTCTTTTCTCTAATAGTTCCACCAATGCTTTCGATACCAAATCAATTGGAAGGGGCGTACATCGGTCAAGACGTGACATTGGAATGTCACACAGAAGCCTACCCATCCTCAATCAACTACTGGACTACAGACAAGGGGGATATGATCATTTCCGGTGAGATTTGTTTGAATCTATTCACTCAATACGTTCACGACTCACTAACTTTAGTCCAATTTCATTTATATAAGTGATTATTAAGTATTCATTCATTCATTATAATATATTGAGATTTTATATTACATTATAGATTTAGGAACGTATAGAGGACAAACACGAACATTCATTTTTATTTATATAGAATAATATATGTCCTATTCTTTTAATGTCCGTGTACTCTAATTTTAGTACAGCATAGTGTATAGTCGTTTTATTATTTATTTTATTTATTTATTACATAGGTCGGTAACAGAGCATACGATCTAACGTTAGTATATAATATGATGAAAAAAGGTCTAGACTAAATTATGCCATAATAATTGTAAGCAACACTGCATTCTAATAAGATAATGACATAACAATTATTTACATTTACATTATACATTAGTGCGAAAAAAATAAATTTTATGTAAACGTTAACAGTCAGTATATGTGTAAGCCAAAATATACGATAAAAATGTAGACATTTTTAAATTATTATAATAAATAAATCATGAACTCATAATAGAGTCAAGAAAGTTAAGTTTTATCATGGCTCGAGGGCCATAATAAGAGGGCCATAATATGCAAGGCATAATGTTTTATTAGATCTATATTAAGAGGCGCATTGTGACATTTATGTCAAAATATATGAAATGTTCTTGAAAAGATGACGCAAGTCGTATCCGATAATATTCTTTTGGTCTAAAAATATCAGGTTTAAAATTGATCAACATATTTGTTAGTGCAAGTATATATATATTAATGAATAAATCCAGGACGTATCGTTAGTTATATCTATACAGATAAATAAAATTGACATGTCTGTTTGTAATGTTAAACTAACAGCTTTTTACTAAATTTTACAGTACTAATAACACAACAAAAAAAAACATATTGTTTTAATTTTTGTCTGTCTGTCTGTTTCATTTAATCTCCGAAACGGTTTGATCGATTTTGAAGTGATTTTCACTGACAAATAGCTGATGTTATAAGGAGTAACTTAGGCTACTTTTATTTTAGAAAAAGAATCAGAGTTCCGCGCCAAAACTTAAAACCCATGAAATTGTGAACAGAAACAGCGTACCTAAGGACACACCCGAGCGATGCGAGGGTAACTCGCTAGTATTAGGTACATATAAAACTATTTGACGGACTGATTCATCAACGCCAACATCAAATATAGGGCTAAAATCTTAACAAAGATACATTGTCAAATTTTTAATATTAACATGAATAAACACTAAGAATATTTTTAAATAAAAATTAAACATTATTGATATGCAATACAACCTTTCTTAATTAAATTCTGAGATTTTATGCATTAAATAAAAAAAAACAAACATGCGAATACGGGGAATATTGCTAAAACAATATAATATTATATGATTCAACTTTGATGACGCACATACATAACTACTACAGTTAATCTGAAACTTTCGAAGTACTAATCAAAACAGAACTGCCACGGCACATTTATCATGTCAGCTTAAATAACATGTGTCTCTGTCAAATATAATACCGCACAATTCATCATTGATTTATGAGCTGATAATGAAAATAGTTTATGTCGAACCGAGGAAGTGTACGACACAATTGGTAAAAGCGTTGGCAAAGGTAGGATATAAAATGGAAATGTACAGCATTTTATTCCCTCGGCGAATAAAAGTTATAACGTGCGGTAAATTTTTACCTTATTTTCAGGTAGAAGCTGATTAACAAATAAACTTATATATTTTATTAAGCTTGCACCATTTTGCTAGAGCGGCATTTGAATAAACTTTTAAATACATTTGTTAAATACACACAGTAATTTTTGTGCTATTAAAATATTTTATTTTAATAGCGTATAAAAGTAGTGTGTGCTGTTGTACTAAGGAGTTATTACTGTAATTGAAATTACAGCTATTTTACGGACTCTCCATTTTTTAAATTTTACAATTTAAACTTAAAAATATTTGGACGCGTAATGCAGCTATGATACATAGAGAGACTACTAGCACGATTTAAAAAGGCAGTTTGGCGTTAAATATTCGTTTTTATATGAACCAATTTTCTGTGTATTTTTTATTGTCAATCCGAATAATAGTAATATCGTGAAAAACTCTATATTAAATTGTTTTTGAGTTTTATCATTTACTTCTGTAACTTCACTAAATGCAGGTATACACACTCTCGTATTTCTTATAAGTAACATATTATAGACTAATTAATAAATTTATAATAAGTCTAAAATATTTAAATAAAATCATATTAAACGTTACCAATAGACAAAAAAAGGCTATAAAGTATCCGAGCAAAACATGCATATCTTTTATTTGAAGCGAGGTCGATTGCTAGTAATTAAGTATAATTTTATGTAGGTATTAAATAAAACAATTTAATATATTTAAGTTTAGGTTAAAAATCACAAATGTGTCATATATTTAAAATTTAAAAATATATTACAAGCTGAAATGATATCATTGAATTAGTATCGGAAAAAGAAGTTGCTTGAAAAAGTGATTTCCATCCAAGCTTTTCAACCCATTATGAGTAAATTAGTAAAGTTAGCTTAGATTAATCAACTCCCTGAGGTGGTAGCGATTGCGATCTTTGCTTTGTTGTTTCCCATAGTTGAGACTGACCACCTAACTAGATACGAAGTAATAAGGAGCGCAGTATATAAAACTTTTGCAACATTTACAAATGACTATTTCAATTTCATTGTTTATTATGTGGAGATAATATTAAGATACATGTAAAAAACACTTTAAAACAAAATTTATCATTATTTTATTTATATTTTCTACAATTTGAAAAAAAATACTTTTATCAAAGGTAAATTCAGGTACTTACGGAAATCTTCTTAAGAAGTATTACAGCCTAGTCCAGTCATAAAATAAAAAATAAACTTTTTGAAAACAAATATTTAACCGTTTATATACATACGTTGAAAGTCTCATAAAATCGTATACGTAAGATACTCAATGTAAAGCTAAGAACTCTTTTTGAAGTGAAACTTCTTTAGAATCGTTGTGATTTGAAACTTGATGAAACGAAAATGCGACACTAAAAGAGACAATCGTATAAATATAAAGAATTATTCCGGCGAGAGAATAAGATACGTTACCATGTTGCCATGGTAACCGTTGTTATTGTCTGACAAATACATAATATTATACTCTTTCCGTATATGGCATTTTATAAATATATGATTATAATATGCTTAAGATGCCTTATTTGATTATATATTTGTTATAATTTTAAAGAAGAAGAAGTAGAAGTAGTAAGAAGTTTTACTTCAACCGCGCGTAAAGGTCACACGCACTCAATACCTCTAAATGTACACAATATCTTCCTTAACTCTAAATAAATTAAATTTAATTATATGAAAAAATATAGATTAACGTTCTACAATCACACGTACACTAATCTCATAAATTAATTCTTTTGACGACGCTCAGTTGGTAGTGACCCTACTTGCTGTCCCAGCGGTCGCAGGATTCAAGTCCCGCTGGAGGCATTCATTTGTGTGATGAGCACGGATGTTTGCACTCCAGTCATGGGTGTTTATATTTATAATATGTATGTATTTAAAGTTGTATATGTGTAGTGTTAACTATCTGGTATCCATAACACAAGCCTCGTAACTTACCATGGAACTAGGTGGTGCTGTGTGTTAATGTCCCAACATTTATTTATTTTATTTACATAAGTGCGAATATTTGCAAGTGCGACTATTACTTCATTTCATCACTTTATGGATTTAAATAAAATTGGGATTTACATACCGTATTTTTATCTACGTGACGTAAATACAACACAATCTAAGCTGCGGGCAAGACTAGTAATTTATGAAAATTTTGTCTTTATTTCGACCTTAACATAGAAGGAATTAAGTTATGAAATTATACAATCCTACGTTTTAATCCGATTTTTCCCGAAAATTATAAAAAAATCGTAATTTGTGTCGATTAACATAATTTACAAATTTTTACTCAATTTAACAAGAAAACTACTATTTTAATTAAAAAAATTTGCCACCCCGCAGCCTCCATAAGGATGTAAAAGAATCTTTACTTTTTTTCATGTTAACTGTAGGTATATTGATACTTTGTCAACTCTGTAGGTCCAGCGGTTCAATCTGAGAAATAAAATTACTTAAACTTTGTTTTTACCATGCTCATTTTTTGGCTATTGCTTATATTTTATTCTATATAATATCGTTGCGCTATTCTCTAAGGAACTTTTAGACCAATATTAAATTATGTCCTCCAGTTGAATATTAACCAATAGTCTTATCCACTTACAATAAAATCTATAACGTAGTCTACATTTCACGGAAACTTTTCCTGAGATAAAAGTTAAGTATTTTATTTCTGGTCAAATCATCTACCGCCAACCAGTGGAAATCTCTTTAAAATCAGTTCAAGCGTTTTCAAAAGCTTTTACAAAGTAATTGATAAAAAAATATAAGATTTTTTTGGTATCATGAACATAAGATAGGGAGCTTAATATCTTGATTAATTTGATAACACAAAAAAATTATAAGTCTTCATTTAACTTCTAATCTTTTTACTAACAAACATCTATACGCAATGTAGACAGGTTTAATTTTTATTAATATAAAATAATTGTTTTGTATTCGAAACTAATGTAAAAATAAAAGTCCATAACCTTTCTTCAACTTAAATTATAATATGGAATATAATATTATAGAGCACATAAAATTTACTTAGAAGTTTTACATTTTTCTACGAAAGTTTTAAGTAAAAAACCTTTAAACGTGTTATATATTAGGTTTAAAAACTTAGATAATAAAAAAGTGCATATACGAATATTAGCATGAATACCTCATGTGTATTGTGTTATAACTTTCTGGGTATACCTACATATATCCAGGATAACTTTTGCTGGATGGACTTCGATGACATTTAGTAAACATAAAGACAATGACCTGGAGAAATAAGAGAAATGAATAGGTTAATGTTAGGCACCTAAGCGCACCTTTAAGGACGCCTGAGCGTAGCGAGGGTAGCTCACTAGTTATAAATCGAATTGAAATGTTTGTCAACGAATTTAATATACAGGAGACTATAAATATTTTTAAGTATCAAACATACAAAAAAATATTTAACGAATATTATAAGGAGTTTCCCTGGTGGGAAAAAGCTTCAGGCGAGAGCGGCATAACGAGAGATTGTACCTAGTATGCGAATGCTGCGGACAAATACAATTTAAAAATAAAATCGCAATTTCATTGTTAAAAAGGTTAAAAGTAAATGTATCTAATTTTGCTATAAAAATATCTTAAAAGTTATTGTAATTAGTGCCTAGGTACAGTTAGTTATTTAAACTTGTTTCCAAATTTATACGAACTATAGTTTTGGCCGACGTCCGCCCAACTTTTCACTTTACACCGGCGACGTCATACTGCCGTTTGCAAGGGAAATTAACTTCTGCAAACTCAACGAATTTTTTGTAAAGTTCCTTCCATGTGACTTTATCTTATTTTTGTAGCTTAGTGTACCTGAGTATAGAAGGTTTTAGAAAAAAAGATAAAGGAAAGAAAAATATTTTTCAAGTGAACTTATTTTAGTTCACATACAAAATAATTTATCGTAAATATTATAACTCTTTATGATCAAAATACAATAAAGAAATATTTAAACAGCCGTTCACCCCTCGCCATGAGTCGACATTCTTTTAGATCAAAATACGAAAACAAAATCTCGTGTTCGATTTCTCTCCTTATAGTGATTTATTGTTTTGTCTATCGGCTACAAGCAGAGCTAGCTAAAGTGGAAAATAATAAAATAAGGGTTTGATCTTTTATTTTATTGCTACATACAACATAATTGTTCTAAAATATACTTAAGAATACAGTACGTAATCAATTTTATAATATAGGCGTGAATGTAAATTCAGAATCACTTTATGGCTTAAGTGTAACCGCAGCATAATATATCTAAGGGCAGTAAATTTGAATGGATATATATCCTTGTTTTAAGACCACTAAATCTCCCCTTAGCGAAATTCACATCCCAACTCGTACCTATAACATGATCACACACCATTTATTTCCTAACAGTCCATTTATCTCATAACTATCAAACACGCTCACTGCGTTTGTGTCTAGGAGCAAGTATACAGGTTTTATATTTAAGTAGAAATGGAAATTGTAGGTGGCAAGTATGAAGCATTCCCCGTGGATAGCGGCTACAACAAATTTATGATGTTGAAGATTCGTAACATCACCAAAGAAGATTTTGGCTTTTACAAATGTATTGCGAAGAACTCCTTGGGCGAAACGGACGGCATCATCAAACTCGATGGTACTCAACCCTCCTTTTAACTCGAATTTCATTTTAAATTGATTTCGTTCTCAAGTTTGTTTATTTTTTAGAAATACCAGCACCTCCGTCAGCTTTTACAACTACACAAAAATCTGTACTCGATAATCAAACGATCCGGAAGAAAGGTCAGTCCTAAGGTTATAATATTTATTTGATAAATTCTTTTCATGTGTTCTTATTATTATCAATGAATTTACAGGTCAACTTCAGATTTATCAAGCAAATGACGCAGTCAGCTCTACATTCCAAGGTGAAGCTTATGGTGAACAAATACGAGATTTTGGTAATAAAACATATTTTTTTCCTTAAGGACAGTTAATTTTCTTATATTTTTTTCCAATTATTTTAGTTTTGTTTTAATTTTAACGTAATAAAAATTGTTCTTTAAAAACCTAAAGCACTAACATGTAAATCGATCATAAACCGCAAGCTTGTGGCACCGCGTTCACGGAACAATTTTTGTAGGGTTTCATTTGTCAACCTTTTTGATAAAGAACATAAACAAAAAGTATTATAATCTATAAAAATGTAATAAAATCCTTTAATAAACTTAACTAAACAAGCTAAAAAGTACAGACTGTTATATTTTCGTATGTAGGTACAAAATTATTCTATGTGTAATTTAAAATATCCGGAGTAGTACCAATGATTTAGAAGGTTATATAAACATAAAATATTACTTCACTACATTTTGTATACTATAAATACCAAGCTAACGGCTCAGTTTTATTTTGTAATAACGACGTAGGTTATGTCTGTTTGATATTTAATAAAAAATAATTGCAGTCATTTGGATTTTAAGTTTTAAATAATAATAACTACTTATCCATACTTACACATACATGAAACTTTATTTAAAAAAATATTTTCTTACAGATTTCTATGAAACGGAAAACGCATCATCGAGCCCGAAATTAGAAAAACTTTTATATGTAACACTTTTAATTCGGCAAATAATAAGTATAGTTTGTGTACATTCTTGATAATTGTAGTGTAAATAAATATCCTGTATTTCGATTGTAACTTATAAGTTTTTATGATAGTAAATTTATTTTTTGGCTGAACAGACAATAACCATTAATTCAAGATCAACATTCAATTTATACCTCATTTATACCTGTTAATTACGCACATTATTACTCAATATTTTATAAATAGGTAATGTATTTTAACGTGTAGGAGTTTTTATGCAAATCTGCTTTATAAAATAGTATGAATCATTTTGCAAATGAATGTTGATCTAATAAAGCTTTGCATAAGGCCAGAAGATTTATAGATACTGCCTATATACTAGTCATTCAACGCGCTTCAAATAATTGAAGTTTAAGTTTATTTATACATAATTTAAGTGTTGTGATATAAAATAAAACTGTTTTTGTATCAATTAAAAACAGTTATATTTTACTGATAATATTAATATGTACATATTATGTAAAAGGTAAGAATCATAATATTATTTACAGGTCTCTTAAGACGTAATGTTTTATAACATTTGTTTATAATTTATTAGCTTACTTTTATACTTTTACACACATTTAAAGCAGGTAAAATATTATAAAACAGTAATTTTATTTCGAGTAGTATACACGAAATGGTTGTTGATAAAAAATGTTAACCTGGCTAAAGTACATGACATTTCCGGTGAAATCCCGCCGTAATAATTATGGTATCTTTACCGACCCCCATATTTTGTTACGCTATTCTCTAAGGATTCGCGACCCACAATTTAGAAACCCGGTCTGTTAGGGATTTCTTTTATGCAATGAACCTTGTAGTTTGCACGGAATATGATACTTTGAATTCGATTTAAATAACGATAACTTTAGTAAATGTTTTTAAAATAAGTTAATACATAAAAAAAAACTAAGTGCTTTATTCATTTTATTTATACAATAATCATTTCACTATAAAAAAATCATTACAAAACATGGTTGCCTCATCCTCGTCGCCCCCAACGAAAAAATATCTAGCTTTTATATCAATTTTTAATAAATGGGTTATGAAATGAACACTTATTTGTACATTTTTGTATAATTTTCAGCGTAGTAATGTTTATATAATATTCAGAAATAAGGCAAAGAAATTACTACCTTTACGAATGGATCCAGAATTCAGAATTCAAAGCCTCTTTGAATTTTTTATATGATAAAAAATAATAAAATACGCCGACATAAAACTCACCGATGTTATTAAATCTGCTGTAAATGTAAGATTTAGATTTATGAAGTATAATAGGTATATATACATATTTAGAAAGTTTTGTATTCTTTTATTTGCTACAAACAAAACTGTCAAAATATACTGTATAAATAAAGTGCTTAAATACAATTGTTGTTTTATTTCAAACTTAATAATTAAATACATTTCTATTTTAAGAAAGTGTTATTTAGATCTTTGGTAAAAAAAAATATATGTCACCCCTCATGTGAAAGGCTATTTGCTTTAAGAAACATTTTTGCAACTTTACAGAAGAGCAGTTTAAAGTTTAAAATTTGAACAAAAATCATAACAAAAAAATACTGATGCTATTAAAAAATACTATGCTATAAAATTATAATGGGGTAAATTTCACTAGAATTTATTTGAAAACGCCTAGTTGTTGATGATAATGCCAAATAAAATGCCAGTATATTTACAAAAATAATTTTCGTTTAACACATCACGTAAAATTTGACTTTTTTTACATTAAAAAATTAAATTAGAAGCAAACTTATCTCGTATAGAATTTTAATTTTATAAATAATATTAATTACATTCATTTTAAAGTATATTTAAAACCGCACGTAAATATAAACAAGTTGTTTTTGATAAGTTTTTTCTAAAAGCGGAAATTAAATTAAAAGAATGTGCCACCCTTGGGATGGTAAAAAGGAAAGCAAAATAATCCAAACTTAAATTTTATAAAATTATAAAATAAGTATAGGCTAAAAAGCCATTATTAAAGATTCATTATGTAAGATATTTTTAAAAGTGCCTTTATATCTAACTACCAAACTGAAAACTTATTATTGCTAAAACTAAAATATATCCTATTATAAGCTTTTAGGCAATATATGTATTAATGTATGTATATTATTAAAATTGATTTAGTACTTTAAGAGCTTTTTTTTACAAAACAAAAGCTTTCCTTTTTTATAATATTATAGTATAGATAAGTCTTGTATTGCTAGAGTATGTAAAGGATTAAGTTAGAGCGAGCAGTGTTGCCTAGACAGGTTGAAACCAATATTGTTTTGAAGCCAAGATTCTAGGTTCTTTGACACATTTACAAAAAGCAAGGTCAACATTCTTACATCACGAACGTAACATCATAACGTTTTTCCGGCCTAAAAAGATTCTAATCAAATAGCTTTACTTTTTACGTAGGTTTTTTAGCTCGCAAGGGCTATATACTCCAGAAAAAAGTAAAAGTTTCCCGAGGGACAAGAAGGTTAAGTCCAGAGCAGCGCTAGAGGCTAAAAGGCTAGTTTCTATTACATACATATCTTGATTTACTGTTTCATTCGCCCAAATGTTATATATGAGCTTAATATAGATATTACAAATGCTTACTTTGTACATAAAATTTTCTATTGGAATAAAATTATGCATGTTATGTGATTTAAGAATTTATCTGTGTGTTAATTTTTAACTATTATGTTTAAAAAATAGTGCTTTGAAAAAGGTCTTCTGTAAAAAAATTTTGACAAAACTTTTGTGGCATGTCTGTAAGCCACCTGCTGAATAGCAGAATAGCGTTTACGTATATTATTGATTAATTTTTTCGTATCATTCAAACGCATTAATATTAAATGTAATTTCTCACAACATACTAAATATATGACTGTGACACTACTTGCTGCGACTACTATTAATCATAAAACTTTCGAGCAAAACGTAGTAATTTATCAATTCTTAATAGTATACATTAAAATTACTCTAATTTTTCAATATTTCTAAAAGTAAATAGTATGGTGCGGTGGAATACTATTGATGTTCTTCTTTCTAGTATCCACAAGTTAAACTTTAAACTGGAACTATAAAAAATATTACATAACAGTTTGTTTATCGTTGGGTATATTGATACTTAGGTTTCCCTAGTCTTACGGCAATTTTTTTAATTGAATACTATTGGTTATATGTATGTATATAGCTGAAACGGTAGGTATCTCATGTGAACCGCCAAGAAAGTTATTGTCAAATTAAAAAAAAACGGGAGCGGCTTGCTATATATGTAAGAAGGGATATACATGTAACTAGCCGGCTCGGTGATCTAGTGGCTAGCACGTATGGCTGCAGACCCGGAGGTCCTGGGTTGAAGTCTCGGGTCAGGCCAAGTCTAATTACTGAGTTTTTCTATTTAAATAATCTTAGTAACGGTCTGGAGTTGGGATTTTGGCGGCGTTAAAGTCACCCCCGTGCCTCGGAGAGCATGTAAAGCCGTCGGTCCTGCGCCTTAATTCTCACCGGTCGTGTCGAAGTATCGTCCTATCGGACTTTGAAAGCAAAATAGAATAGAGAGTGCACTTGTGTGTACAATATCTCCTGCGCATCTGGCTAGACTCAATGCGATTTGTGTATAGTATTTAGTAGATGAGGCGCATGCTAAAAGGTTACTCTCTCTTCGACCCCACGGAACCTTTCCCCTTCTTAATATTACACCGCGGAATGGCTTTCGCATTCAACCGTGACACTCCAACGTGGGCCTACACATACCTACATAGACAGAACCCTTCCGAGCAATAAATACTACCACCCCTTCCCTCCAATTGCCATATCCGTTCGATATACCCAGAATTTGAAATTAAGGGTATTTTTTTATAAAATTAACCTCCCTCACCGATTAGAAATACTGTTTAATAGGTTCTCTTTACAATTTGCTCCCTTCAGAGTACCCAGAGCACTCCACTTGGTACACTTGCAAATGTCCATCGATACAGGACACTGGCTCATAGTGATTATTTACCGTAATCCGTTTTTATCGTAAAATATAATATTATTACCTAGTTTTACTTAGAAAAAAATAGCTTTATATTAAGAAGCTTATTTTTAATCTATACTAATATTATGAAAAGGTAAAATTTGTGAGCTTCTGAGTTTGTGACGTTGTAGGTGTAATCTCTGGATCTACTGAACCGATTTACATGACAGGTAAGAAGATAGTTTGAGACCCTGAGAAGGACATAGGATGCTTTTTATCCCCGAAATCATCCCTTAATGGGGTGAAAATGGGGATGAAAGTTGGTATCGGGAATCAACCTAGGGACGAACGCGAGCGAAGCGAGGATAAGTCGCTAGTTAAGTAAAATAAATATATACACATTATATATATATATATATATATATATATATATATATATATATATATATATATATATATATATATATGAAAATAGGGTTATGACTTACTGTCAAAAGCATTAAAATTATTACTTGACAAAGATGTATGTTGAACTCTATTAGAAAAGCAGAGATTGTCAAAGAATGACCAAAGAGGATTACAAAATACATGAAAAACATTGTAATATTAGGACAATATGGTCAGACAAAATAAATCATCATCGAGGGACAAACTGTTTGTGTTAAAATTAAAATACATAGCACAAACATGATAGCTATTTTTCTTAAAAGGCGAAAAGCCCGAAGACACAAACTACAATTATTATATATTCATTGTATTCATAAAGGTCTATGTCCTCTAGATATTAAGGCCGACCAGTGACTAGTTACATATTACATAATGAGAAAATTTCTGGCCTACAGCCAAAAATTCTATCTAAGTAGAGCTTATGTTGAAGATTGGGAGATTAAAGTACTTAAAATAAATAAATAGCGCCAACTACTTTATAATGAAAATTTCTTAATTGCATTTAAAATGTTTTGTATAGTTTATTTATCGTGAACATTAGATTTTTGAAATATTAATAAATATTCATAAATATTCACTCACTTTGTTGCCATTCAAAGAGCTACTTATATAGCATTTGCTACATAGTTTTCT